GGCCAGCAGCCGGGGCGTTGGGCCCTGCCCGGCGGCGGGGCCTGGCCCAAGCGGGCGCCCGGCCGGAGATCGGGGCCTCGCCGCGGCCCGGCCCGGCGCTCCCCCTCATCACTTCGGGTCTCCGTCTCTTCACACCCTTCGGCTCCGCAGCCAGTGCCGTGCTCCTGGAGCACAAACACCTTCTCTTCCCGGGCTTTACACCCGTCTCCTCTTTATGTCACTGGGTGCCAGCGTTTTGGTTAATTTTCATCATAGGAGCGTGATTCATGGCAAAGCCCACCCAAAAAATCTTGATGTTCGCAGGTTTCTCTCGTATCTCCTTTTGTTGTTTGCGTCCTAAGGTGAAATACATTGCTGGTACTGATTTCACCATGTGCCTCTCGTCATCCTTCTTGTTCTTTTCTTTAGGCTTTCCCTATATGCCTTTTTTTTTTTTTTTCTGAGAACACATCTGTATGCAAGATGCAGGCATGCAGGAGATTTATGGTGCTTCATAACTTTTCCAAGCTTGGCCTGCATATTTTACCTCATAATTCCTCTTTGCTTTTCTGATGGCTACAGCGAGCACAGAGCTGAGGTGCAGAGAACTGAACATGAACTGGGCTTAGGCAGGGACTGGTTTTCCCACCTTCTGTTCATGCCACCCCCTCAAAATGCACATTTGGAGTGAGGCCTCCTGGGTTCCACCCTGTGGGTGCCAAAGAGGGGAGCAGGAGAAAGAGCCACCCACCAAAACTACCTTATTGCAGAGGGGAGAGCAACGATGGGGAGCACAGCGTGTCGGAAAGGGGCTTCGGATGAAGGCTTGGAAGTCCAGTGTTTTGCTTTAAGACCAAGTTGACCGTACAAAGACTAAATGAATTTGGGTACCAAAACACTTTAATTGTAGATATGTGGTTTTGCTGTGAATTGTGCGACTTCCTTGTTTGGTGGAAGAGAGGCCATGGTTGAAGAGGAAGGTCCAGCTGGTCACTGTAGTGGTTCCTCACACACCTCCCTGTTCTCCAAGAGAGGGGACCCCAGGGAAGAGCTGGGTGCTTTACTGTAGTGTGTCTCGCTGCGCTTTTGTGTCATCCTGGTGCAGGACTGCGGCTCCCCTGGGCTCTCTCATACTCCTGAAGAGTTTCCTCATGTCCCTCCAGTTACAGAGTTGGGTAGAGGAGACTCATCTCTGTTGGCTCTTCAGCTTCAACTCGGGTACCTCACAGACAGCAGTCCCTGTCACAATCTGCTTCTCTGGAAGATTCTCTGCAGTTTACAGCTTTCACAGTGATAAATAGTTGATTTACACTCCTAGCGCTCTTCGTACTCCTCTTTCCCTACAAGTAGGCTTTCCCCTTCTCCTACAGGTGAACTAAAGCTCATACCCTTAACCTGCCACCCCCAGGCTGACCAGTCCCTCCGCCTTCAGCAGAGCCCTTGAGCTGATAATTTCAGTGATCTGCACTGGTGCTAAAAATCTTTTTCCAAACTAGCAGTGGTCAATTTTAAACTTCATTTTTCTTTATGGATGCTTATTTTTTTTCCCCCTTTGTAGTTGTTGGCATTGAATTCCTGTATCTGAAGAGCTTGAACAAGTCTGTGTTGTTGCATATTTTTTCACCTCGCTGTTTATCCATTTTGCTAGATTATTACGGGTGTATTGAGCCCAATAGAGAACCCCTATTTATTCCCTCTCTTCTGGTTCCTGGAAAAAATATGTTTTGCCTGGTGTTTTGCTGAGGGTGAATGGGTGGGGAAAAGGAGTGGGAGAGAGCAGGGTCGGGTAAGTGCCCAGGCAAGTGCACATTGTCACTTCAAGCCTGGTCCCCAACAGTTAGAGAAATCTAACCTGCTACAGGTTTGTTTTCTCACATGATAACTTTTTATTTGGCCTGGTTTTTGGGTGGGGAAAGGGTGAGTTTTACAGTGCTTCCTGCTGTACCCTTCTTTATGCTTGTCACTCTTACCCCCTGCAGAGCTGTAGGGAAGACCTGCTTGCTGATCAGTTACACCACAAATGCCTTTCCGGGAGAATACATCCCCACTGTGTGAGTACTGGCCTTCAGCTGCTTTTTTGCTCTGTATGCACCTGTAAAAGTTGGTTTTGTAGGTGTGGAGAAGGCTGTAGAAGACTGGAAACCTCACACCCGAGGAGGATGCTGGTGGTACGGCTGTGTGTGTACAGAGGGCAGGCTGTCCCCACTGGAACTGCATTGCAGTGTCCTCTCCTCATTCACTGCCCCTTTGGACTTTATGTAGAGAGATGTGTGGGTCAAAACAAGATTGTCACTGATGGGGACTCTTCCTTGGCAGGTTTGATAACTATTCTGCCAATGTGATGGTAGATGGAAAGCCAGTGAACCTAGGCCTCTGGGATACAGCAGGACAAGAGGATTATGACCGACTGCGGCCTCTTTCCTATCCACAGACGGTGAGTCTGGGCTGGGACTGGTTTATAACTGCTCCCTCTTGGGGACAGGGAGGCTCCCAAGGACAGCCAGGCTCTCCTTTGAGGAAAATCCAAGTTTCTGCAGCTGTAGCTATAATTCTGGTAAGAAGTATCACAGCTGAATTTCTCCAAAGAGATTGTCCTGTTGTAGTCCCTGCTTCGTAATGGTGTTTGGAGAGTTACGTGTGCCACAGGGAGGCTTGAGTGAAAGGAATGGTGTGGGGCTGCTGTGCAGCTGAGCCACGTTCAATGTTCCTGTTCTCTCTTGGTGGGACGGGTCGCTGTTGGGCTGCACTAGTGGTGTTTCCCTGCCTGTAGCAATTCCTGCGTGACCCCCTACCACGGGTGAAGCCCACAGCATTGTTATGCTATTTGTGGCTGTAAAAGAAGATGAGGTCATACACTCAAAGTCCATTCCTTCCCTCTCTGAATTAGTTTAGCACCCTTAATGGGGACAAATTTCTTAGAGCCACAGTCCTTACTTGTGGGAGGAGGTTGTCCTCTATAAGATCCCTCCCCACCCTCCCTCCATACTCTCTATAGTTTTTTCCTTTTACACGCCTGACCCTCTTGTTTCTGCACAGGATGTTTTCTTGATCTGCTTCTCCCTTGTGAGTCCAGCCTCCTTTGAAAATGTCAGAGCCAAGGTAAAGTATTCTCCTTCTGGGTGAAAAAGTGGAAGGGAGGAGCCAGTGAAGTCCCCTGCCCCATCCAGCACCACACCTACAGTCCAAAATTTCTAGAAGTCATGTTTTGATGAGGGAAAGTCATAGTCTGCAGGTTTTCAGAGGGGCCTATTTTTTATTCATGACTTCTTTGGCTAAGTTTTTCCCTTTTTGAATCTGCATCTTAAATAAGACAAGGGAAGTTCTAGAAGCTAAAAAGCACTTAAGGGAAGCACGGGCGTGCAGAGTTGGCTGGCACTGTCTGTCATGATTCCATGTCTCAGTGCCTTCGTTATTACTGTAGGCAGAAGTTGCCACCATGTCAGATAGTAGTAAAAACCTTGTTCCTAGTCGTAGATGCATCCTCATAGTTGCATCTCCTGGTATAGCTACTTCTCTTACTGTGCCTCTCTGTTTCAGTGGTACCCTGAGGTCCGACACCATTGCCCAAATACACCTATCATCCTGGTGGGCACCAAGCTGGACTTGAGGGATGATAAGGACACCATTGAAAGGTTACGTGATAAGAAACTGGCCCCCATCACCTACCCCCAAGGTTTGGCCATGGCTCGGGAGATTGGTGAGTCTCGTGTGCTGGCAGATCTCCGTGGCATTGAGCTGTGCCTCTCTGTTCCAGTGGTACCCTGAGGTCCGACACCATTGCCCAAATACACCTATCATCCTGGTGGGCACCAAGCTGGACTTGAGGGATGATAAGGACACCATTGAAAGGTTACGTGATAAGAAACTGGCCCCCATCACCTACCCCCAAGGTTTGGCCATGGCTCGGGAGATTGGTGAGTCTCGTGTGCTGGCAGATCTCCGTGGCATTGAGCTCTTTGTTCTGGAGTGGGTGAGGGAGACAGTTATGTGCTGGCAGGACTGGAGTGGTTGAGCTGGAGCTCTCTTTCCCCCTAGGGTCGGTAAAGTACCTCGAGTGCTCTGCCCTGACGCAGCGGGGCTTGAAGACGGTGTTTGACGAAGCCATCCGGGCCGTGCTCTGCCCGCCGCCCGTGAAGAAGCCTGGCAAAAAGTGCACCGTGTTTTGAGGGCTGTGGCCTGGGTGCTGGCTCAGCATGTTGTCGTCCTCTTGACAGATTGCATATTAGCTGGGTGTTTCTGGAGGGGGCTGGGATGTGTAGGGCCCTTCATCATGTACGAAGTCAGTGTTTTTTAAATGTCTCTTTGATTTAACGTCAGTGTTGATGTGAAGGGGCAGCGGGGGCAGGAGACTAGCTGGGGGCTGTACAGCTCCCAGGGGAGGTACAATGGGGAAGGCAAGGTGGCTCCTCGGGGCAACAGGCTGTTTTGGCTCTCCTGAACTCCACGCTGAAAGGGCTGAGACATCCATCCTGTCCTGGAAACCCCTGGTTTCAACCTGCAGGTGAAACAGGCGGGGAAGATCCTTGTGGGAGCGGGGAGGGAGCGGATACGAACGGTGCTGAATGACAAGAGCAGTTGGGAGAGCAGTAGGGTCTCCTTGCCCAGCCTTCTGTGGCTTAACAGTTAACAAACTGGTGCTCTAGCAGATACGTGCCTGAGACTGTTAAATCCTAACCAGCCCCGGAAGGGGGCCAAGTAAATAAGGTATAAGCTGAAGAACTAATCATTAGGTGCTTTATTGGGTACTAGCCAAACTCAGTGAGTGAAACAGCTCTGTGCAATCCATGTATTTGCCTTTTTATGTGTGCACACCCTAGGACAGCGTGGTGCTGCGCCCCCCCCCCCCCCCCCCCAAATCCAGTCTCTGCAGAGCAGGGCTGTGGTTGTTGCCTCTGTTTTGTTTTTTTCTACTAAAGACGGCAAAGGAAGCAATGAGGAGTCTGCTAACTTCTTCTTTCCCTTCCCACTGAGAGTGCAGGCGGGCTCTACGGATTTGGATGGAACAGGGAGAGCTTCTGGAGGGTTGTGGGGGGGGGAATAGGGTTGGAAGAAAGACAGGTCCGATTTCTAATCATCATGTAGAGTGACAAGATAAAACCTTATTTGGTGCAATAAACATTCTCCATGACGGCGTATGTGAGCTTTATTATATAGCAGCCTTCTTAAGGTAATTTTCTGCCTCGCTTCTCATACAGGTTCCAGCCCTGCTGCCCCTCTTCTCCAGCCAGACTGGGTCTGTGTCATTGTTTTCTATCCAGTTTACATCTATGCGGTACTAGTAGGAAAATTAAGGCCAGGTATGAAATGCAGGTGTCATCTTAGGAGACAAGAAATCCCCCATCAACCATCAGTGAGCTGCCCGTTGTCATAGCGCTCTGGTCGCTCAGCAGGAAGAGAATGCTGTTCACCACATCGTCCACCTCTGGAATCAAACACAGAGAACATCCCATGCACCCCTTAAATTGTACTAGAAAAAAAATAAGCCTCCCAAAAGTTATGTCTTTGACCTCTACATGGAATTGGAGCAGGGAAATATCTTTGCCCCCAAACGGTGCTTGATGCACTGTACGGGGGAGTGTGGCTGAGAGCTGGCCATCAAAAAGTCCTTGTTGTGACCAGGTGACACTTAGTTCACAGCAGGCACCTATGCTCCCCTCCCACTCATATTTATGAACAGTAGAGTCTTGTCCTAAGACAAGAAGGCTGTAGAAGAGGGGAGATAAGGCTGGTTCTCACCCTGTCCTCGTCACATCCCTCAGGAATTCAGCCACAGCCATTCAGCAGTTGTGACTTTCCCCACAAAAGCAGCAAGTGGCTGTGATGTCGATTAGAGGGAAGGCTTGGATCCCTCTAATCAGAAGCAGAAAAGCCCAGCCTGGCGACAAACCTACACCACTCACCTGCAAACTTTCCCAGCGGGATCCGGTTAATCATGGCAGCAGATTTCTGGGGGTCGCTCCAGTTAATTCTTCCCATGTCGGTCATTACCACCGTGGGGTTCACAGTGTTCACCCTAATCTGGGACCAAGAGCAACAAACAATCTACCCAGACTGCTCCGAGAGGAAACCCTCGGGTTCAGAGTTCATACTTTTCTTTCTCTGGAAAAGAATCCTACCTTGTGGGGTCCCAGCTCCATTGCCATTACCTTGCTCAGCATATCCAGAGCACTTTTTGTGGAACCTTCAAGAGAAGGGGAAAAACAGGAGGTGTTTAAGTGCATCACACTGGCTGTGGAGCACACACAAGTACTGGCAGCCAGCAGCTGGGTGGCTTTGGGTCTCCAGCTGATCAGAAAGGAGAGGGGCACTGCTAAACCTGGACGTGCTTACAGTAAACGGTGTGGTCCCGCAGAGCCCGCTGAGATGCCTGGCTGGAGACATTGACAATGGCACCTGGCACCCCCTGGGCAATCATCTGCCGAGCAACAATCTGGGGAAGGGGAAGAAAAGAAGCCACAGGGATGCCACAATCATAACAGGAGAAATGAATCGTTTCAGTCAGTAGGAATCTTGCTGGGCCATTATGGGAGCCCAAAGAGCAAAAAAACCTGGAGGAAATAAGTCCTCGCTGCCTCCCACTTACAAGGGGTTGAGTCAAAGCAAGAGAGCAAGAGGAGGAGCTGCTGTCAGGGTACCTTTGGGTCACAGCCCCTTTAGCCCCTGCAGTGGACACTTGTCCCTGCTGTGCAGAACAACTCAGTCACCGCTGTTCATGGAGATGACCGCGGTGACAGTTCATCCTCACCTGGGAAACATGAAGCACGGCCCCAAAATTCACATCAAAAGACCTACAAATAAATCAAATGTAAAAGTTACACTGGGGGAGCACTGGTGGGACTCTGATCTTCAGCAGGACTCTGATCTTTAGCAGAGTAATGTAGTTCCTCTATTAAAGTGTAAACAGTGAGCCCTGGGCCTCAGCCAGTGATGACTCTCAGGTCAATCAAACCCTTCACAAGGCTTTGGAAGAGCAAATAAACCTGCTGCGAGATGGGTAGAAGCAGCTTTTCTTCTATTTGCCACGAAGTCCTTCCTTGGTGAGGTTTTACCTTCTAGTTCTGCAGAATGGTCCTGGTAGACTCCATATTTATATTCTGGTCACAAATGAATCCTTTATTACAGCCCCACAAGAGCCACTCTTAATGCAAGGACAAAGCATCACCCGTCGACTCTCCATATCCCATGTCCTTACGCTCACCCCCACCTGGAACTATGGATCTTTTGAGAAAAAAAAAGATGGCATTTTCTTGCAGTAAGCAAATTTCATTTCCTGCTATGACAGTCTTATACATCTTTAACCTGGTTTTGTCTTCTAACTGACCTGTGGTACCAACGGCTGCCTTTCAATTTAACAGAGGCTGGGCTGGAAGCTCTGAGCAGGACTAACAACACAAAGCCCCCTTCTCCTGGGTGGGCTGATGGCACGGGGTGATGATGGCACGGGGTGATGGCACGGGCTGGCCACCATCCCAGAGGTGAAACCACAGGGTCTGGCTACTCAGTGACAGCGCAGAGGAGCATCGGCCCTTTCCTTGGCTTCCCCTGAGGGTCACGGGGCCAGCAGTGGTTACACAAAGCATTAAGAGACAGTCAGGAGAAGAAAAGGAGTTTAAAAAGAATCACAAGAGAAGAAAGTTGAGAGAAGGAAGGGGATAGAAGCTGTGGCAACCAAAAGCCCATCGGGAAGGTGACTGCTGGGCATTGCTAACAGTGTGTGTGGCTGGTGCCTGAGCACCGGCTGCTCTTCTTGCCGGTGTCTGGCTGTCCCTCTGTCCGGCTGTGCCGGTGTCTGGCTGTCCCTCTGTCCGGCTGTCCCCCTGTCCGGCCGGTCACTCACCGCTGCAGGGCTTCCCGTGTCACCTCCAGGAAGGGCTGCAGCACGGCCACGGCCGCGTTGTTCACCAGCAGCTCGAAGGGCCCCGCCGCCGCCACCGCCGCCTCCGTGGCGTCCCAGTCGGCCAGGTCCAGGCACAACGGCTCGATACCGGGGCACTGCGGACCGGGAGGGGGTGGGGG